CATACCAGGCAGCAGCTGGCCGGCCTTCATCGCAGGCGATTGCAGCGCCCTGCTGGGAGTGCCTCTGCGTCTTTTTCACGCACTTATCCAGCCCCGTCTACACCCTCCATGGGGCAGCCAGGGCCTGCTGCAGGGCCTCCTCCTGGCCAGTGAGATGTTTCCAGAGGTCGGGCTCGCATTGCTTCTCAACCCCAGCAGTCCACTCGGCAACCCTCCCGCCCTCTTAAGGGCAGGGGCGTTTGGAAATGATACCCAGCTGGCGGTGGGACACTTTACCCCGGACCAGCTCAGTTGCTGGACCGCTCTTGTTCCCGATCCATGGGTGGTGTCTACACTGACTCGGGGTTACACGTTACAGTTCCGCTGCCGCCCTCCTGTTCCTGGTCGAGTCAAGATGACCAGATAAAGGCTCAGGCTCTGAGCCACGAGATAGACGCCTTGCTGGCCAAAGGCGCTATATTGCCTGTCGACCCCCTGCGGGATCCAGGGGGCTTTTACTCAAAGTATTTTTTAGTCCCGAAAAAGACTGGCGGATTCCGCCCGATTTTGGACCTAAGGGGTCTCTCAATGTGTTTTTGAAGACTATCCCTTTCCACATGTTGAGCATCAGGGATGTGCTTCAGACAATCTCCCCAGGCGACTGGTTCACCTTGGTCGACTTGAAGGACGCCTACTTTCATGTTCCGATTGCATCACACCAATGGCAGTTTCTCCGCTTCGCATTTCAGGGCAAGCATTTTCAGTTCAGAGTTCTTCCATTCGGCCTCTCTCTGTCCCCACGTGTGTTCACTCGGTGTGTGGCTGCAGCCCTGTGTCCTCTCCAGGCCAAGGGGTTGAAGATCCTGCCTTACTTGGACGATTGGCTCATTTGTGCGCCCACAGAAGCTCAGGCGGCGGACGCACGCACATTACTCCATCACATAGACTTGTTGGGTCTTTTCTTGTGAACTTCCAGAAGAGCAACTTGGCTCCATCTCAGGAGGTCCCCTTTCTTGGGATCACGATGGACTCCCTCACTATGACTGCTCGCCCGTCGCCTCAGCGTGTCGAGGGCATTCTGGAAATGCTGCCCTCCTTTCTACCAGGCTGCGCACCCCCCTTTATTGCTTACCTTTGTCTGTTGGGCAAGCTGACTGCTGCTGCTACAGTAGTGCCCCTGGGATTGTTGTCTCTGTGACCGCTACAGATGTGGCTCAACAACCTGAGGCTGGACCCATCTCGTACGCTGCACCGCTGCCGGAAACTGCTGGTGTCCAATCAATGCCTCGAGTCACTGGCTCAGTGGCGAGAGGCCGAGTTTATGCCCAAAGGGGTTTGTCTCTACAGACGCATCCACCACAGGATGGGGGGCGTCGTGGCAGCGACTGATCGCCCGGGGGACATGGTCTCCGCGGGAAAGATCAACGCCTTGGAGTTGGAGGCTGTGCAGCGGGCGTTGCAGCACTTCCTCCCGAGCCTGCGCGGGAGACATGTCCTAGTGCGGTCGGACAATACTTCGGTGGTTTTTCATATCAACCATCAGGGGGGGACACGCTCGCTAACATCGCTGAGGCTGACCCAGAAGCTCTTTGCCTGGGCAGCCCCTCTTTTTGCCAGTCTAAGGGCAGCCCACATTCCAGGGGTGCAGAATGTCCCGGCCGATATTCTGTCTCGAGGACGCCCACCACCGGGGGAGTGGAGGCTCCACCCGGAGGTAGTGGGGGTCATTTGGGAGACGTACGGTATGGCAGCTGTGGACCTGTTTGCGTCCCAAGAGACGACACATTGCCCACTTTGGTTCTCCCTGGCAGACAGTGCCAGTCCTCTGGGTCAGGATGCACTGGCACACGACTGGCCAAGAGTGCTGCTCTATGCTGTTCCGCCTCTTCCCCTGATAGGCCCAACACTCCTGAGAGTCCTTCAGGAGGGGCATCAGGTCCTTCTAGTGGCCCCCTTATGGCCGGGGAGAACCTGGTTTCCACTGCTGCACAGGCTCTGTTGCAGCTCTCCAATGCCTCTTCCCCTCCGGAAGGACCTTCTGTCACAGCTGGGGGGTCGGATCCTGCATCCCAATCCCAGTCGCCTCCAGCTCTGGGTTTGGCCGCTACGAGGCCTGGCATCTCCTTCTCAGAGTATGACGGGGATGTCGGGCATACAATGACTAACGCCCGGGCCCCCTCGACGCGGCTGGTGTACACTCATAAGTGGAAAGTTTTTAGCAGTTGGTGTCATGCTAGACATGAGGATCCTGTACACTGTTCTATTTCGGTTGTTTTAACCTTCCTTCAAGCACTGCTTTCTCAAGGTCGGTCTCCGTCCACTCTGAAAGTTTATGTGGCTGCCATCTCTTGTTGGCACGTGGTGGTGAATGGTGAGACAATAGGCCGTAATAAAGACGTTTCATTGTTTCTGAGGGGTGCCTGGCGCTTGCACCCTCCCTTGCGCCCTGTCGTACCTGTGTGGGACCTCTCTCTCGTCCTCACTGCGCTGCGATCTCCCCCATTTGAGCCTTTGGCAGAGGTGAGCCTTGAGTATTTGTCAAAAAATACTGCCTTTCTCCTTGCCATGGCTTCGGCGAAGCAGGTGGGTGAACTACATGCATTGTCTGTTCACGAGTCCTGTTGCCGTTGGAACCCAGCTGGCTCTGGCGTTACTCTTTGGCCTGACGTGACGTTTCTTCTTAAGGTGGCCTCATCTGCGAGCCACTCTGTGCCCCTCCAGCTTGCTCGCTTTGACACTGGTGGGCCTGATGAACCTCTCTGCCCTGTTCGGGCACTGGAGTCGTATGTCAGACTCACAGCTTCTCTGCGGCAGTCTGATAGTCTGTTTGTTTGCTATGCAGGGCCCCGCAAGGGGCAGGCCCTTTCCAAGCAGCGTCTTGCACATTGGATTGTGTATGTGGTGGAACAAGCGTACGTTCTACAGGGCCACCAACCGCCTGCTGGTGTGCGGTGCCACTCCACCAGGAGCATTAGTGTGTCATGGGCCGCTATGACTGGGGTCACTCTGGAAGCTATCCGTGCAGCAGCCTCCTGGTCATCTCCAAATATTTTTGCTAGGTTCTACAGGGTAAACCTGGCCGCCTTTCACCCACTGGAGGGGATCCTGTCCCAGCGTTCGTCATCCCAGTGAGGTGGGCATGTTTGGGATTGTTTCTTTTCTGTGTGTGATTCCTCAGGACTCTGTTGGTAATCATCATCCAGTGCTTTAAGCACCGCCTCTGGTGGTCAGTAGGGATGAAATAGAACGCAAGTTACGACTGTAACTACGCTTCTATGAATCCCAGATGACCGCCAGAGCGTTCGGTCCCTCGGAATCATCGTGTTTCGCGAGAAGATTAAGGAACTGAGCTGTCATTGTCACGTGACTATATAGACTTACCGGTGTCACCGGGGGTCACACGTGACCATGTTGGTATAAGATTCTCGACCTGTGCATGCGCAAGAGTGATCATTCAGTGCTTTAAGCACCGCCTCTGGCGGTCATCCAGAATTCATAGAACCGTAGTTACAGTCGTAACTTTCGTTTTCCTCATCGACCGGTAGCATTTCGCTGTGACGCGCACAATGTTGGAGGCATCGCGTGGCTCAAACACCTTGATGTCGTCCAAAAAAGATGACATGAACTTGTTGGTTCCCCTGTCCATTGTCGTGGCTGATATTTTGTCGAAATCCGGCAGAAATGCTACACTAATCGACTCAGAAATACTCTCTGCAGAATCAGTCGAAATGAAAGACGTCATGTTTACACATAGAAACTAAGCTCCGTGAGGCTTTGTTTGTGAGCCATGCAGCCACGTGGGATTTTAGGGGGCGTTTCTGGGCAGAGCTTGGTAAGGTCCATTAAGGACAAGGGTATATAGAAAATGGATGGATGGGTGTGGCCAAGTCGCATGTTAAGCTAAAAGTCTTTGGATTGCCAGAGGCGTCCCCGAGTAGGGAAATAAGGGGCCCATGGCTCCCTCTTGAAAATGTTGCCCAGAGAATCATGTTCATGTCCTAGAAAGACATACAAATTCATCTTCTTAAATGACGACATAAATGTAAAATCCAAAATATAAATAAATACAATAACACATGTATATTTATTCTTTAGCTGTTCCCCCCCTAAAATATTTACTGGCTTGTTCTGGCCAGCCCTGTGAAAGTTTTCTGGCGTCGCCTCTGCTGTTTGTGTCCTGACTTACTACAAAATAACAATAAAAGAAAAAAAAATGCTGCTGAAAGAAAAGTTCTTTGTGTTGTGCTCAACATTTCCATTTATGAATATATAAACCTGCAATGGAAACTCATTACAAAAAAATTACAAAAAGTCTCCATTTGTTTGTATCATTCTTGATCTGCAGTTGGGGGCCAAGATCATTCCAAGGGCCTCAAATGGCCACATGTTGGACCCCTGTTTTAATTCATCTGACCCAAATTATGAGCCTTAGAGAAATAAAAACGTCTGTGTGGAACAACAAGGATGTGAAATCTGGATTCCTGGTTCCATTTACCCCCATCAGCAATGCAATCCTGCAAAGTGAGGCCACATCTGGGGTCCGAAGTCAGCAGGCTTTAAACAAAGGTCTGTGGCCTTGTCCTCAACACAAACATGTCCAGATACTGAATCTGTTGATGATGTCATTCACTTCAGATGAAAAACCTCCATGTTGTTTTTGACGCATTGAACCCTCTCTTCACACTGCAGCTCCTCTGCTGTCCTTCCTCTGCCTCTCTAAGATAACCTTTCATAGCTGATCACATTTGACCTGATATTAATTTACTCACTTAGCTGCACCATGTTCTCCCAGTTTAATGTTTTATGGACAGCCTGGCTTTTTCAGCCATTTCTTGCTCCTGTCCTTTACCCAGCAACACATTTGAAATGAGTTCATTCAGTGAATGAAGTTCACAATTCCTACATTTGTTTTGTTATCTGTGCTCAGCTGTGATTAAAATAATGTTTCACTTTGCTTCCTTCTATTCTAAAAGCTGGATACTTGGAAGGATAATAGTTTCTGTAAATAATTCAGTCTCTACCATCATTGCTTGTTGAACCAGGGTGTTGCAGTGTTCACACATGTTCTTCAGGATCTTGTTAGCAGCATTGTGCCGAGCGGTGGTGGTGGACTTTGAGGCCACGGTGAGCGGGTAGATCAAAGCCTAAAAAAACAGTAAAACAATCAACAAAGTGTAGTGTTGTATACGTTCCATGTTGTGTAGGTGAGAATCCGTGGCAGAGTACCTGCGGATGGTAACGGCCGATGTCTGTCAGCAGCTGGTGGATGAGACGGCCAACCAGTGCTCGAGGCGTGTCAATACGAGCTATGAGCTGAGGAATCACCTGGGAAAGGAAAACAAGAAACTCAACACATTCAAAACACGCCACAGAAGTCTGACTAAGTCAGCGCTACCTCATTTTTAAAGCTGCCGTATTTAACTTTTTACAGAAATGTGTTTTTACATATTTGTTAGAACTGCCACTGTATCATGACAGAAAAATATACCAAGCAATATGCAGTTCAGTCAAAAACAACCAATCAGAGCCAAGAGAAGGGGCTTAACACTGCCAATCATCATCGTGTCATCTCTACTAGGCTAGAGCTAGCTTCCCACAACATAGCCTGTTGTGAGTGCTATGGCTAGTTAGCATGGCCATCAATAAAGGAGAAGAAATAGTTTTCCTGGAACATTAAGCTTTTTCTGTGCCATTAGCACACAGAGCAGTGCGCTTAAAAGCATGATTGACAGCATTAAGTCCGTCCTGTTGGCTCTGATTGGTCGTTTTTGACTAGGAGCGGTGTGTTTCTCCAGACAGTAGCAGCTCAGGGAGGAAGGAGGTTTATCTTTTCACACATTATCAGTTTCATGGTCTTACAACATAGTAACATTTTGAGCAAATATGCAAAAAATTTATTTTACAGAAGTTGCATACCACCACACTTTTCCATGCCTTGAAAAAGTCTACATTTTAAGACCAAACATTTACTGTGAGGAAAAGAAATAGTTCTTAAACAGCTTTTTTATTTTGCAGCAAACATGAAGTTTGTAGAAAGATTCTAGAAAACTAACAATTGTCTACATAATCCAGAGTTTTTTTCTTTTCCATACTTATCTGAACATGGAAAACATTTAATTTTATATTTTCCAAGACTGCATGGAAACCCAGTTAAATACTTTTTTAAAGACTATTTGTCAATTATTTTCATTTTTATTGATAGAAATAGAAACATCAAATTGTCTTTAATACAAGGCTTACTACTTTAAAAGGTTGTCTGATATATTTTTTAGGCCAATCATTGCTACATTGCTCCCCTCTCTGTTTATTCTGATTATTTTTTCAATGGAAAATAATGTACATGTTAAACTTCTGCCAATTTTCTCTTTTGGATTGATTTAGGGCTGACCCTATTTTTGCTTTAAAAGTGTTGATCGTGTCTTTGTTTCCACCAATGGGGAGAAAAATAAAAAATAAAGCAAAAAAAGAGTAAATAGCTGTGCACATTACCTGTAACCAGGTGTCTATCTGAATGGTCTTGATTCCCTCCACCAAAGCTTCGTTCACCTCAGGCCAGTGGCCGTAATCAAACCACAACGTCAAAACCCTGAAAGTTAAAACACGCAGTGAACTCACATCTCCTCTCAGAGCAGAGTGATATCAGCCACTAGAGGGCCACCCTTTACTAACATGGGGAAATCAGCCAGGCCTTCACATAAACGGTAAAGTCTGACCGCTTGCCTTGTTTGTATTCTAGTTGTTTCTCTCACCTGAGTGTGTCCTGCAGGTTATTTCCTCTGGAGAGGGAAATGGAGCGGAAGAAACCCTGAACAGCAGGTACTGTGTAGAGCAGCAAAGTCTTTGAGAGGTCCTATCAAAGGCCAGAAAACAAGGCAACGCTTTCAAACAGACCGAACCAGAAGCTTTCACAGCAGACGATGGGCTCTCACCTCATTGACCTTCTTCTGGCCCGGTGAGGGCATGGGACTGTGGTCGGCGCTGTCCACCTCACTGTCGCTGTTGCTGGCCTCGCTGGCGGCGCTCGCCCCACTGGCGTGTCGCCGTTTCTTCTTCTCATTGCGACCCTGGTTCTGATGCTTGTAGTGCAGCACTGCCTCGAAGTTCATGACGGCCCACGCATGCCAGGCCTGCAGAAAAATGCTTACCGTCTGTCTTAGATAAGTGGGAAATGATTTCCACATTTATTTGTGACATCAATTGCAGTTCTGTAGGAAATTGCAGTTCCTACAGAACTGAAATTTATGATCCAGAGCTGTAAGTTCGATACAGGAAGCTCACTACCAGTCTACATTCATTTTAGAAACCAGTTGCTCAAGATAAATAAGGAGAAAGTATGGGACGGACAAACACACACACATACACACACGTTCGCATGGCTATATTTTTGGGGACTTTTCATTGACTTCCACTCATTTCTACAGCCTAAACCTTACCCCTATCCTAACCCTAACCCGGGGGTCGGCAACCCGCGGCTCTTTAGCGCTGCCCTAGTGGCTCCATGGAGCTTTTTCAAAAATGTTTGAAAATTGAAAAGGATGGGGGTGGGAAATATATTTTTTGTTTTAATATGGTTTCTGTAGGAGGACAAACATGACACAATCATTCTTAATGTTTTCCAATGCTGTAAAAATGTGAAGAATAAATATAAAATTTCAACATTTCCATCAACAAAGATTTGGGTTATAGCCTGTGACACGTTTCTTTCAGCTGGGCGGGGTGCGAGGCAGGTGGCTATTGTAAACAAACTGAAGGGTGTGTGGTGGGCCATGGATAGCAAAAGAGAAAAGAGGAAAATAGCTAAGAGAGATTCTACAATTCATGGACCGAATCAAACTTAAACTGTATTAATTAAATTTTATATACTTTGTTAGACTATTTTTTTAGACTATTTTTTAGACCATCGTACAACAGAGTAGTCACGTGGTGCGTCATTCCTTCCAGGACGCACAGCAGGGAATATAAGCATTTAATCATGAATGCTCATGAATGTATGCACTTAATCGTTTTGATAATATGCTATTTAGCCTATTATCAAACACTTAGTGTTAGCCTATTAAAACTTAGGCTTTAAGTGTTTATATTAGCTATTATATTAGCTATTTAGCTAATATAAACACTTAAAGCCTGTGTTGCCTTCATCATAAGCCTTATGTAAAGCTTTTAATTTTTTTTTGGCTCCAGACAGATTTGTTTTTTGTTGTTTTGGTCCAATATGGCTCGTTCAACATTTTGGGTTGTCAACCCCTGCCCTCTGGAATGTAATGTAATGTAATTGAGTTTTGGTTCCTAACCCTAACCAAAATTCAATTCACACCTAAGTCCTAAATGTAACACCTGACCCAAAAACAGCATTTCCCCTTGTGGGGCCAGGCTTCAGTCCCCACAAGGAGGAGTGGGTCCCCACAATGTATTATGTGTCAGGAAAATGGTCCCTACAAGGTATTACAAACAAACGCACACACAGTGGAGGAAATGCTGACAGCTGTGTTGTTAGCTAATGCCTTAAAAACAGACAACGGGTTTTAAATACTTCCGTTTAACAAGGAATATAAATGAGCCACGGAAAACAAAAAGCTTTAAAAAAAAAGTGACAACATGGAGTGTCTAATATTCACCGACGGAGATTTCCTCTCTGGCACAGCTCGGATTTTATTGGCACCAGGCAGGAGCTGAAGGTGAGAGGTTGAAGGGTGGAGGGCGGGGACTGACCTTGTACCAGCTGCGGTCATGCTCTGTTGAACTGCTGTAATACTGAAGGACTTTAGGGATGGTGCTCTCATTGATGCCTTGCAGGCTGAGCTGCCACTCCCCCAGCTTTAAGAAGCACCTACATGGTGGAAACACACACACACGCATGCACGCACACAGCACACACACGCATGCACGCACACAGCACACACACACACACACACAGAGCGAGCTTATAGTAGTTCAAATCTTCATTCACATGTAGCCTCCATTATAACATTGTATAAACAAAAACTGTTAGATATTTTCAAACATTTAACTGAAAAAAACATTTTGTAGGTTATAAAAGTCACTAAAGTCAAACGTCAAAGTCATCATTGTTTGCTTTGTTGGGAGTTCAGAGTATTTTTCACCTGACAGATGTCGGTCTGTTCATGTTAATACATCTAACCACAGTCAGACAAGGAGGACCACAAGGTTCAGTTCTTTCACTGTATAAATGCTTCCACATAAATTCACATTGCCATGTTGATGAACTTTTGCTTTCTTCATTGACAATAACATGAGGAATCTAGTCAGTTAACGAGACAATAAATATACCATAAAGACATAAAAACTGAAAACCAAAGTGACTGAAGTCCTTCAACCAGGACAACATTCATTGTGCATCCAGTAGTGATGTAAAGATCAGTGGTGTCATCTTTAACCTAGACATTACTTTATATTCCATCCTTTATTTAACAGGCTTTTAGAGTGTTCCTCATCCTCTAAATAGCACTAATGGTTCAGTGCTTCTTTAACCATGTCTCAATCCAATGTTGTGATTTTTGAGCAAACCTTTGAAATGTCACAAAAACGGAAAAAAAGAAGTGAAGGTATGTTTCCATCTACTGGTTTGGAGGACATAAAGCAGGTAATGCAGAGTAATTTTGTCAGTTGTTGACGCTATGCATGGTTGGAATAAACGGAATGTAAAGGTTGCAACAAATCTCAGAAATATGATGTTTCTCCACTCCATGCTGGAAGAATCGATTTAGACATTTTTCTGAGATTTGTGTCTCTAGTAAGGCACGGACCCATCAGAGGATGGGAGAGTTCACTATGTCAAAACAAAAGTGTTTCCACCTTGCCTTTTCACATGAATTCTTTCAGAAAAGTCAAAAACTACAACAATTGAGTGTCAAAACTTCATTGCAAATTTGGGAATGTTATTTCAAATTGTACAGTTTCTAACCTTTTTCTCATGCGATTCCCCTAAATATGAACAAAAGAAATGATGGAAACAATTTCTGTTTGTTTCTCTCCTGGAGAAAACTATTAACCAAGGAATCACTGCAGCACAAAGTTTGTTTCTTTTCCAAAAATGTTACACTTGCTAATGTTAACTCCCACAAAACAACTGGCTTAAACATATTGCAATTTACCAGAGAAACGTTACACTTTTTAATGATTGAAAACTTGGAAATGTTGCACCAACTCATCAAAAAATGATCTAATTGGTTATGTCGCTTATGTGTTGAGCTATGAAACTTCACTGAGGAGAACAGGCCTCTATTAAGCATAAACAGATGCTAACAGGCAGAAGTCCAGCTAGTTGTGTCTAGTGGGGCAGAGTGGTGTAATTTACACACCTAGGCTAAAGCGAGCAAATGGCAAACAGATTTTTTGTAGATCCATTTATCAATAATGTGAATACTGTTTGAAGGGGTCCACTGATAAATTTCCCCATTGCCATTACATCATTTCTTTGTTTTCCCATGTGTTAGCAAAGGATTTATGCCAAAATTGCTTCCAAAATCTGTTAACATGCAGCGATGTTACAGAATGTATGAAAGAAAGCAGAGCTATTGAGTCAGAGTGAAGTGTTGTGCGAGATGATGTGAACATGAGAAGTCCAGATGTGCTCCATACCAGCACCCGACCTGCATTCATTAAAGTGTGTGAGGATGGGAGGCGTCGCATCCTGGCTGACTTTATACAGGTGTTTTCTCCTCACATGCATTCCTCAGAAAGCTGCTGTGTGGCAGATAGAAAATTAAAAAGAACCTTTTCAGCCTGCTGTCACGCTTCAGTCTCATCACGTTTGAGTTACAGGATGGGAGGACACAGCCCACTGTTGGCATATGTGGCGTATGATTTACTGGGACCTGGATTATACCCGTCTGATGCGAAGCCGCACCTCTGGCTGGTTTGGGTTGCTTGACCAACATGAAGAAAAAAACCCCCAATGAATCGCAGACAAGCTCTTTACAAGGTAATCATCCTCTTGTCAGGACCAAATGCAGCTGATTTTAGCCCTGATAGTTTGAGGAACTGTAAACAACCTGTTCTGGGACTTTGATGGAGTTCCAAACTATCGTTGAAGCATCATCAGAAAAATATGCCAGTGTTTTCTTCAATTGGATCCAAGAGTTTCAAGAGACTTCAGTGTTTTCTGAAGTGAGATTTACAGTACCTTCAAAACCCTTTCAAAGCCGTTGAACTATTGCTTTTTACATATTGTCACATTAAAAGCAGAAACTTTAGTGAACGTTTTGGACGATTTGATTTGATAAAAAAAAAAAAAACTACTAAATATTTCTACTAGTAAATTTATGAAATGCATTTGTATTTAGCACTGATAAGACATCACTAACTTTTTTTTAAATTATTTTTACTCCTTTTTCAGAACATAACTCAAACTGAAAAAGTTTTAAAAAAAAAAGATGACCAGTAAATATCAACTTTCAATTCTTGCCACACAATCTCAGTTTGGTTTCCCTCTACTGATTTCTTTCCAATATTTCAAACCTGAATGAAGTTGCCCCGCCCACTAACCTTCAAATGTTTCTAGAGGTCACCAAATGTCAACCTGATTGTCCATATTTACAAAACCAAACAGAATGTGGTGACAGTAAACTGTGCTAAGCTGGTACATGCTGCAAGAATTTCAATTTGTGCCGTTAAGATTTTTAAAAAAGTTCAAAAATCAAACAAAACTTAGAGAATTATTTTTGCTGTTTGTGCAGCTAAAATGTTTGTAGTATAGCTTACTGACACAAAATCCATTTGATTTTGTAAATGTGTGTGTGTGTGGGGGGGGGGGAGGGGGGGCTGGTTGACTTTCGATGACCTCTACAAAAATTTATTAAACCTAAAGAAACTTTTGTTGCACAAACATTTGTCACCAATGTAATTTGATCTGAAGCAGGTGGAGGGGAACTTTGCTCAGGTATTGCTCAGTAAAAAACATGTAAGATAGATATTTAATAGTTCACAATACTGTGGTACTTTGTGCTGATCGATCCCATAAAAGGGTGTATCATGTGCATGTAAATACATTATTTGCAAGGCTTTTAAAGATGAAAGTGGAAAGTTATCATTTCTGTAAAATGTAGAGCATGACTTTAAGTGGAAAAGTTGAAACCAAATGGGCAATGTTCAAGGAATGAGTTTCTGAGAAATGTCAGTTTATGGAGTCTTCTGAACATTGTGATGTAAGATTGGTAATTTTTCTGGAAGATTACAACAATAAATACTTAACTAATGAATCCTCAGTCTAGTTATCACAGAGCCCAACTGTCCATCTGCACATGAAAAAACAAACACGGCAATCTGCCATTTCATTAACATTTCTACTGTTTGTGCTTTTGTTGTAGCCATTACAACCAGCTGTATAAAGCAGTGGCTGCTGCCTCCAGCTCATGAACTGACCTGGCCATCAGCTTGTGGAGCTCCTGCTTGCGCTGATGATCTTCAGCTGCTATGGCATGTTGGGCTTGCTGCTGGACTCCCTGGACAAAGTGCTGCATGTGCTGGAAGGCATCAATCTGTCAAGACGCAAGATAGTCAGCAGTCAGTTTTTTAACATTTACAACAATTTATCCATTTATAAGGCATTGTGCTGGGAGAGAAGGATATAAAAGATGTTAAAATCATTGAAAATCTAAATAGTAAGCATCATCTATTGAGAAATTTGTCTCAGTGATGATGAGTCAATGTCCTCTCCAACAGTAGATTGTTTTTTTCCTCTGCTCATCTGTGTTTTATATCTGTTGAGAAACGCAGTTGGCTGTGTTAGCATTAGTGCTGATGCTCACACTTACCTAAGCCCCCAAATGAGATCCTCACTTTCAACAAACAGGCGCTATACTTTTGGCAGCCAAACGGCATCTGTTCTGACTCCACCCACTGCTGCCTTAGTTACCAAATATCAGCAAAGACTAAACATTAAAGAATACTGCATTATTATGTGTGATGTAAAAGCTAGTTTTCTACTGAGCATTATTCCCATTGATTGTGGGGACATCCGCCTTGTGTTGCTCATTCTATCAAAACAGAAAACAGAAGCATAAAACAGAGAGGTTATGCTCTGAACTTGTTCAACCTGTTCTCCAGACATCACACAACAAAAAAAATGAAACAAGCTGGAGCAGTGGAGAGTTAGAAAGCACAGGTTTAGATCACCCACAGCTGCTTTTACTTACATTTAATCCACCTTTGGATTTTTTTTAAATAAATATAAGACTAGCATTAAAAACTGAGTTCAATAACTATCATTATTAATGTTTTTCTCTTGCTGTGTGAAATGTTTTAGATTTTTTGTTTGGTTAACCTAACTGGTAACTTATGTAATCCTTGCAGCTGTGACTAATGTTCTGAAAGTGTTTAGGAAAGTTTTGGCCACGTTGGTGAAACATGTTGGCTGGATGAAGCTGCTATTACAGGAATTACCCAGTGAGAAGCAGCGTCTACTTTCAACATCAATACTTTGCTGTTTATTTTATTTGGATATGAAGATAATGATTCAGTATTTATTAGAAACATGATTAGTTAGAGGACACACACATTCTTCTACTCATCACGACCTTCTAGCTCAGTGTTTCTCAACCTTTTTCGGGCCAGCACCCCCCAGCCATTATCCAGGTCCCTCACTGCCCCCCGTCAAAGAATTTGTAGGC